TTTGTCCATTTTTCCGCCCCAGTCTTAATCTTGCACCAACACTATCTGCGCTTAATTCAGCAGCATAAGCATGCTTCTTGAGGTCTGGACTGCTCTCCAAGACAGCAGTGCCATCAGCACATTTACCATCCTCAACATGCATTTCATTTTTAGTCTCTTGTTTGGTTTGATGACATGGTTTTAACAGCTGCTGTAACAACAGAGGTTTTGTCATTCATCCCCATGAACTCTGCATCATCTTGGCCATTACTTTTTCTACGCCTCTGTCGTAATCTTGCACCCATACTATCTGGGCCTAGTTCAATAGCACGGGCACACTTCTTGAGCTTCGGACTGCTTTCCAATACACCAGCGGTATCAACATGTTTATCGTTCTGCACGTGCATTTCATTTTCTTCCTCTATGCTTCGGTCTGACGACACTGTTTACAGTTGATTTCACATCAGAGTTCTTCTCATCCACCCCCATAATCTCTGCGTCATCTTGGCCACTTCCTTTCAGGCAACTTTCCTGCAGAATATTGCCTTCAACGTTCTCTTTATTAGTCAAGTGCAATTCCTTCTTCCCTTCCTCACTTTTGAACCCATTTTCACGCATCTTCAAATTTAGGCTTTGATAATGCAAGATAGTCATAAATCTCATGGGTGCCTGCTGATTCTATGTTCTTGGACCTTGCTTCACTTCCAAAAAACCAGTAACCCGTCTGTCTGACAAGCTGTGGCCCGATTTCCATTGCTTTGCATGTGCTTCTCTATTTCCAACTCATCATCCATTTCTTTAGATTGAGGCTTTGATAAATCAAGGTTGACATGAACCTCACGGTTGACCTTTTGCAGATTCCACGTTCTCAGACTGCAGCCTCACTGCCTGAAAAAGTCAATGTCCTTTTTGTCTGCCCTTCATTAGCCAGATTTCTGCTGCTTGGTAGTTGATTCTCTTTCTTGCTCTTGAACTCATCGAGTTTTTTCCAAATATAAAATGTCTCCATGAAATTTTCATGGTAAAATCTCCGTTAAATCTCTATTATGTCTTCAGGTCCCGTGACTACTTATCTCCGCGTCCTTGTTACCAACTATTTTCAGGTCCTCATGACAGATTGTCTCTAAGTCCTCATGACCATGTCTTCAAAAGAATTAGAGATCTTTCTCTAAGTCCATGCGACTGTTATCTCTAAAAAGATTATATATTTTTCTCTAGAAAATGTTGACAAAAATCTCTTATAAATTCATAACATTCCAAGGCATACCTATAAAGTAATATTTTTGTCCAAGCATGACAAAGATAAATTTTTATGTTGGGTATTTTCTCCCTTTCTTTAGCTGGCTAAAGTTTTTCAGACATATATGAATACAAGACTTGAAAAAATGTAAATACTAATTAAACAAAAAAATAATATTCAGTCTGGATTTGACAACTCAGATATGAGCTACACATGCAACCCACACTGAGACTGGTTCAACCTTGATCCAGGTTGTCATGTGTAAACTCAATAGACCCAGCTATTATGTAACATGGTTGAGCAAATTTGCAGAACCCAATAAGCTCAACACTCTTTATCTCTCTTTCCTTTTTTTCTTTTTTTAATTATTAGACTATTTTTTTTGTGCTATCACCATGCATGTTGAGATGTATAAGCTACAAATTCAACTACAGCTTCAGTTAGAGCTACCACAGTGCCAACTACCAAGTGACATGAGTGAACTAGGAAATAGAATTGTCACTTTTTATGGTGAGTTGCTCTAGATTTTTTTCAAAAAAAAACTATATATTCTCAAATGTAGCGAGAGAGAATAAGGATATTTTTCAACTTAACAAGACAAAGAGAACACACAGAGTTTCTCTACACACATCTAGAAATCATTTTTCATCCTCTTGATTTTTTACATGTTGATCAACCAAACTCAAATACTAACTTATGCATTAGAATGACCCTTATTTCCAGGAACAACACTATCCCAAAACTTAACTAGGGAAAGTCCATTTCAGTGTTAAGTTTTTCTACTAAATGGAGGATAATTTGCAAGGATAATTCCATGTGGAAAAACTTCTAGCTTATCCCGAGATCAGTCTAAACATGTGTTTTAAGATCCTTATCATATAAGTGAGATTGCCAACCTCATATTTGCTAAGCAGCTATTGGATGAAGACACAAGATGCATATCTCCCATGAATCTCAGGCAACTTTGAGATATTTGAATTAGTATTCCTTGATTGGTGGTGGTTACTTCTTGGGACAAAATATATGAACCAATTATTTACTGGAACAACTATAGAATTCAATATGTATGTCTCAGTTTAGAGGATAAAAAACTCATGAATACATCTAATTTTTATTTTCAGTAGTATATGATAAGAAGAAAACAATATTGAAGAAGCATACCTGAGAAAATACAAGAAATTTTATTACGAAAAGTGAGAAGCATATCTAGTAACTAGCAAACTTCATTGTTATGGGAAAGTTTTCAGCTAATAAATGATAAATCTTGTAATAGTTAACAGTAGACTTGTTACTTGTATTAAGTAAAATAAATGATGGATTTAAATAAAATAGACTACCCAAAAAAAATATAAGGCCCAAAACAAGCTCAAAACATTCCCTCAATATAGACTAAAAAAACACTAATTGGGCTTGAGCTTGTATCTCAAGCGAAATATATAGTAGAGAGCTTAAGGAGAGTGTGCTCGAGTGTGGTAGCCTAAGCCCAACACCCAACACCTAAAGAGCTTGGGCTCGAGATACTACCTGAGCCCAACTCTCTAAAGGGCATGGGCTCGGGTAAGAAGCTCGAGCCCATGTAGGGCGTATGCCCATGCTAAGCATGCCACCCTGTGGGCTCGGGTTTTTATGTCGATGCCAAAAGCATTAAGGCTTGGGAGAGCACTCCAAGCCCAACATGTTTGGTTTAGACAATGCATTTGGACCCATTTCTCACCTTAATGGGTTAAAGCCTAACACTCGCCGGGAATTTTTCAAGGATCTCACGCAAGTCTCATAGTATTTTATACTAATACAATACATATTGTTTTGAGTAGAATACAACTTAAATATCAAAATAATGAAATTACACTCCATTCGCTCATCTCTATAAAATGACAAGATTCATAGGTTATAAATACACTGTGAATTCTTTTAAGTCAAAGGTTCAGAATTTCTTTATTCTCAATATTTTTAGCATATATATTTTTAGAATATATCTCTCTAAAATATCATTATACTCTTTTTTTATAAAGTTTTTGATTTTACCATTAGAGAGTCCCGACATCCATCAAAAGAGAATTTTTATAAGTACTATTTATCGATTACTTTGATTTACCAGGCATTATCTACTACTACTAGAGATATTGATTACTTGGCTCACTAGAAACCACCTGTTACTACCAAAACTACTAGACACCTAGCTTACGATGCACTATCTTCTACTATCATAGCTACCAGGCACCACCCGCTACTACCACAACTATCGATTATATTAGTTTAATCGACATCACCTACTACTATTATAACTACCTGTCACCTAACTTATTAGGCACCAACTCCTATTACTACAATTACTGATCACCTGACTTACCAGATATCACCTGCTACCACTTACCAACCCTCTAGGCTTTACATATCAAGTCACCAAATATCTTGATTATAGAAAATAAATCAAATTGCTTGAAATGAGAAATCAACTAATTATCCAACACAACTACTTTATTCCTTAATATTTTGAATTTTGAGACTCATTAATAAGTATCAACAGTTATTTTTAATTTCATATAAATTATTTTAGTGTTAAAAATGCAAAAAGGTAGGAACCTAACAAAATCTTCATATAATATTTAATATCTTCAAATGTCAATGGTTGGTTTTATCAGCAAAAACATGCAATAGATGACATCTCTATAAACGTCTACTAAAAATAAAGTGTCGTTAATCAAGCATTAGAAGCAAATTAGGATAAAAAGAGTTTGATTTTCATAAAAATACGAGACAATGATGACATGGTATCCATAATTTCTTCTGCAACCTCGGTCCTTTTGAAATATGTTAACTTTGGTCAAATGCCTCATTTTTATAATGGTCTCGAGTCTTTTCTTATTAACAGTCTACTTCAAGATTATTTACCCAAATAAAATTAAAACTACAACAATTCATAAAATAATTCTTCCTCGAACAAAAATACCATTGACAAGACACACTTTATGAATCACAACAACAATGAAGTTATAGTTATGATTATCTTACTTGATGGCTAATGAGTAAAGCATATATATTATCAAATTTATCTTAAAACCCGATCCAATATAACATATTTATATCTCAATATTGATTTAACACACAATTTAAATAATGAATTACTATTATTATTTTATTTTATTTTAAATGATATATAACACTCTTATAATAAATACATATATCTATACTCAAAACTCCATAAATTGAATACAAAGATTTAAGTTTCTCATGATAAAATATAAATACAGTAAAAACTCATTACATACACATAACATTTATATTTTTTTAATCCATATAACATATTCATATCTCAATATTGATTTCACACAATTTAAATAACAAAATTATTATTATTATTTTATGTTATTTTAAATCATATAAATACTCTTATTATAAATACTTATATCTCTACTAGAAACTCGATGAATTAAATATAAAGATTTAAGTTTCTTATGATAAAATATAAATATTGTAAAAACTCATAATCATCCATAAGAAAGGTGTCGAAATTTAGTAGCAGGAATTCAAAGTTATCATCACTAAATAATCTAGAGTCAACAGTTGAGGCACACAACTAAAGAGTCAATAGTTGAGGATGTGTGCAAATTGTGATCCAAAAAGAGATTTTAAATGATAACATTGCGAGTATATAAATCACACTACCAAGGTCAAAATCCCTGTTTGAGCCCTCATTTTTTAAGCGAGGTATTGCAAAATACATTTGTCAGCAAATTCTGAAATTCATAACCCAAGTACTTTTGTCTGAGAACACTGCAGGTGGAAGTAAAATGCAAAGAAAATTGAAGTTCATGAATTCAGGCATCAATATTCAAATGTCAAAGTGCTGTTTCCACGTGTGATCATTTTAGCATCAAATATTACACGTGCTATTCCCCGAGTTGAAGGAAACAGAAATCACAAATTAGAAAATTAAAAACATAATCAGAATTTGTTTATTTTTTTTATGTCGTGATTTTAGAGAGTGACATTGTTAGTCATAGAAGAATGATCAGCTGAATCTCCTCGATTAGAACAGAGACACAGGATGCAATGGTCCAGGCCCTAGATTTTTTAGCGAACCATGTCGCCTCAATTAGAAGTGGAAGGTGGGGTGGTGTTGTTCATGAATTTTGTACAATCAAATGGCCCAACCCCTTGAGCGTTCTTCCGGCGTACCTGTAAACCATGCAAGTTATAATTATCAAACCAAATATTGGTAAATAATCAGCTTCTCTTCCATAAATTCTCAGGGTAGACTTCCCCTGGATCAGTCTCCTACACACTTCTCAAAACAGTCATGCATTCAACCACAAGCTAATGACCAGATTCATAAAAATTAAGTATGATTTCATAGTATCATGTCCTACTGTAGATCAATAGTGAATTAACTCTTAACTAGAATATTATAGCAAGCGGATGAGCTCTGCTATATCTTAACTGAAATTTATAGATTTTATCACCAAGAAAATGATTTTTAAGTTCAGCTCCCAAACGAATACTACTCGTCCACCAGTACCATTTACAAGACATTAATCATACAAGAAACGTCCCCTCCTCCCTTGACCCACCGAAAAAGTCCCATTGCATCAAGAACTTACTGACATTATTTGAAAAAAGGGTAGAGCAAACAGGATCATACCGGGGACCACGGACCAGGTTCATGTTGAACCTTGTCGGGGGGTGAATTTCGTACAGCACCACCTTTCATGGTTAGAATTTCCTGCAGAAGTTTTTTAATTAGAGGCCACTGCTTATGTTTCATAAAAATCATTTACTATAGTCTTAGTCAATTACCTCTCCAGCTGCTTCAAATGCCGCCAACCACTCATCGGAAAAAGGAACCACATTTGGTGGTGGTTTTATAACACAAGCATCTTGTTTCTTGTTTTTAATAGGTTTCTCGCTGTCATTACAAATTTTCAGATGGACTCTGAAGAATTGGAGTATGTCTATAAAAATAACAAATCAGAGTGATTCAGATTAAAACACTTACAGTGACAATGTTGCAGCCTTATCTTCCGTGGGGTACATTACATCCAACTCATGCTGCACTTCAATGCTGGGACTGCTACTGGTCTGAGGAACTTTAATCTGAGCTTCCTCTGGCAAAATATTCCTATCTGATAAATCAACTTCAGCATCCTGCTGGACTCTCTGACTTGATTTCTCTTTTGTTTTCATTAATAACTTAGACTTCTCATTCAAACAGCAAAACGAACTAGAGTCACAATTATCCGCTGATGATGCAATATGATGCCTGCTCTTGTCTGAAGATGAATTAAATTCCAAGGAAGCAGCTTGATCGATCAGCTCATCACCGCTCCTATTCTTACTATCCATACTGCATTTGTAGTTTTCAATTGATGGCAGAATCTCCATGAAACCCGGCTCTGTATTAACCATAAATGTGTGCTCGGCTTTTTTATCCATATCTGAACCAGCATTTTTAATAGGAGGTACTTGAGTGTCAACATCAAAACATCTTGATTCACACGAACCATCACCCTGTTCTAAACCAACACCCAGAACATTTTTAAGAGCATCTCCTTCTTGCAACTCTACAGAAGTATAATTCATGAGCAACAGGCTATCATCCGAACAAAATTCATGATTTTCCAGGGGAGCTTGCTCAATCATCACGTAAGGATTTTGAACTGCTCGATGTTCTTCAAGTTCTTGAATGTCATCAACCATTACTGTAGAAGTTTTATTAGATACCAAAGGACTAATGTTACAATTGTGGCTATCAGATAACAGACTTTCTTCTGAGGACTGCACGAATGCATTTTGCATTACCGTTTCCTTGGTAATTCTATTAACTTGAGCAAGTTCATTTGTTTGTTCCATTATTTCACATTGGTGAATACCATTTAGACTTTCCACTTCACTTGCAATAGTTCCTCTGACATTTGCAATGTTACTATTACTGCATTCCCTTTGCTCTTCAAGAGATTGGCTCTTAGAAGACAACATATCATCAAATGATCTTTGACTCTGATTGTCCTGATCAGATTCACAGAAAGAAGTTATCACCTTAGTTTTCTCCATGTCTTTGTTCACATCATGCATACAAGTGGAGCAATTATTCTCCAGAATGGAAGAACCCCTTCCATTGGCATCATTTCCTCGCTGTAAATAAGAGGAAAAATTGAAATTTTTAACCGAAGAATCACATTTACTTACTAAATTTTTGTCCTCGCTCATATCATTTATCTCAGAAGCAACCTTAACCAGCCCTTTGTCTACAGAAGATACCAAAGGGTTTTCCACATGCATGCACTCTGACTTTCCAGCTGCATTAGAACTAGAATCATGCTTGGCAGGTGATTTTGAACTAAGAACTCCAGAACTTTCCAATATACCTCCACAAGCATTAACATTTGATACCATATCTTCAGCACTTTGAAGGAGATTCTTCTCCTTGGATTCTTCAGAGAAGAATTTTTTTCCATGCAATAAGTAACCATCATGTTGCAATCCACAATCATCTGCCATAGCTTGTTCTGTTACAAGGCATGGAAATGGAAGCTCTGTCTGTTTTGCAGCTTTTCCACTTGGATCACTAATAATCATCGACAGCAGATTATACTCCGCCAAGGTGTTTGGCATACTTTTCTCGTCCCTTTTGACTGTTAGATTACCATCTACAGACTGCAGCTGCACATTTTCCACAAACAATTCTGTATACAAGTTTCCACTTTCACTAGATTCATTGTTTGTGTGCAGTATATCATTACAGCAAGATGGCCTATAAGGAATTTCCCGTTCAGCTGTACTACAGTCTGGGGATTTAAGAACTGCATTTGCAAGATTTGAACCACGACAGTTGTTAAGCTCTTCAGCTGATCTCTCCTCAATTGAAGTACCATTGTTCAAGCATAGGCTCAAACTCTCTGCATGACAGGTGTCAAGCTTCATTGGCTCAGATTGTTTCACAGTCTGGTCATTGACTTCCCGCATCCTGGCTAACTGAACATGCACTTTTTGGGTACCCTCATCACTATTAGTGCTCATACCTAGAGATGGAAAATCTGAATAGTCACTGTTATCCTTGATGATTGGAATGTATTGTCTGTCTTCAATGTGATGACTGGCAGTCACACAACTTTTCTCTGAAAGACTATCAACTTCTGCTACGAGGCTAACACTGAATCTAGAATGGGGGTAGTCTAATCCAGCTGCAGTCATATCTCTACCTTTGAGGCAAAGCTCAGTGACTTTCTTGCTATGTTGACCTTTCTTCAGTTGTTCACGAGGGCCACCTTGCAAGAGCAACTGATTGTCATGAATGTCGTGCAACTGCTGCTGATTATCTAGCCCATCACAAGTCCTAGAGTTAAGCGGTGCCTGAAACATCTTCTCTTTATTTTTTAATTCTGAATTGCCTTTGATCTTTCCCTGTGAAGTAGGATTGACAGAAGCAGCAGCATTGCTCCTCATATTCAAGGATGCAGATGTTTTATTGGATGGTTGCCAGGGACACTGATGATTTGAGAGGGCAGCTTTGTGCAAACTAGGAATGTTAGACTCTCGAAGTTTGCTAGTTTGAGTTCTTTCTAGGAGGCTAAGCGAACCAGCAGATTTCGACTGCACCATAAATGAACAGAAGGGGAAAAAAAAAGCATCTAATCAAACATTATTTCAGTTAAAATGCAACTTATTATATTTATGTGGTCATGGTTAAGTGAGCATACCTGACTAAAAAATCCCAGTGATGGCGATGGCATCCGCAAGCCTGATGCTTTTGCTGTTTGAGACTCTGTACATTGCTTGTTTTCACTGTTGCAGGAAGCATTTTGCGAGAAAGAAACTGCAATTTTGCTGGTACTATTATCAGAGCCATTTAGTGGATGTGCAGCAACTGGACGTACAAGATCTGGGATCACTTCTGAGCAATTATTTGCTAGGTTAACCTGGGGGTGCTGTGTATTTGTCGATGAATGTTTTTTTGGCACCAGTCTGACCTGTACATATTAAAAGATCCCAATGAAGCAAGCATATTAGAAAATAAGGACATACTGATATGATACAGAATCTGCTAGTCTCCTGTAATCTTTTTTTTTAAAAAAAAAAACCCTAATATCTTGATATACAACCAGTGATACCAGGAACATGATATTCCAGGTCACGTTTAGTATTACAAAACTTCTAAAAGTTCAGGCTCTCACTACCTTACTTCTAGCATGATGAGCAGTGGATTTTGGCAACAGTTTGTCAGAAGGACCAAGCTCCATGTCTTTTCGAACACTTCTGGTATTAGTTGAAGTGTCCTTTGATCTAATATTCTTCTGACCATTACCTACTATAAATCAACAGAAAATAGAAATATCAATTTGCTTTTCTATGTGAAATTGACTATTCAAATTCAGATATAACAGAAAAGAAACTATACATTGAACAAGAAAACCCTCTGTAAGTAAAGTTTATCACCCATGAACTAATTATGAAATCTTAGTATTCTTTTGAAAGTCATGCAGATGAAAAAATAGGTTTGAAACTTACAGTAAAGACATAAAAATCTAAACCGCTTTACAGATGAAATACACCAATATACACAAAGACCACCTGAATGAGGAATCTGATTACGTTTCAAGTGGCTGGATCTAGGAGCAGTATAGACATTCAAGGGATCTGGCTTTGGAGCTAATAGTTTTGAAACTTTTGAGTCTTTTGTTGTCGCTTTAGTTTTGTTTGCAGTGGGAGGCCTTCTAAGAGTTCAAAGAAGTTAAGAATAACATTTCCATAGGAACAAATAGATTAAGAACAACATTGATAAGCCTATGGGGACAATCCATTGTTTCATTATTTATTACAAAACAGAACCTAAAGGATATGAAGATGATGCCACCGGTCGTGGGCAACCACTGCGTTTGGATGCACTTTGACTAATATTAGATGCTGAAAGAATTTTTCGCTTGGCCTGAAAAGCATGTATAACAAAAAGAATAGTAAAATTTCCTTCAATTTTTAAACAATGCGATGAATGAAACAAGATAAATAGAACAGCTTAAGCAGCAAAAAAGTATAAAGAAATGGGGTGCAGATGAACTTGGAAAAACTAACCACAGAAGCTGGGCCAGCTTCATCTCTTGCTAATGAAACAGGCTTTGGAGAGAAGACACGAGCAGCCATGCCTCCATCGGCAAGAGTGTTTGGAGGCAATTCCTTGAACAAATTATCTTCAAGTGCTTGCATATCTGGTAACTCATTGATGCAGTCCAAACCACTGGATAGTAACTCTCTCCCTCCACGGGACACAGGCCTGTCAACTCTCGTACTGAGTGTTGATAATTCTAATGGATCTAAAACACCTGGCCAAAAAGAAAGGAAACTCAGGGTTCGATGGTAAAGTTGAGGTGCAAAACATTAGTAAACAAAGAGGACAATTATTCCAAGGTTTATTGTTCACCTTCTTCAGTGAAAAAAGCTTTGTCCCATGCTAAGCTTTTCCGCAGATTGTATTTCTTTCGCTTCATCTGCTGTGGCTCAAGATTAAGTTTGGGCACATGTAGTTTGTCCATGGTAACACTTTCCTCATCAATCATAACATCCATACATGATGAGGAGCTTGATTTGCAAGTATCTTGCCCATTGCACTTCATACTCAATTTCTTTCTGCACCATAAAAAAGTCAACAAACAGAAGCTGGTGAGAACAACACTGTGAGACATGAAGGTGAGAAGTACATGTTTCTCTTACAATCCCAAAATTAAATTTTAATGTGTATCTAGCAGTAATCAACTATCCATAAGAACTCTTCAAAAAATCCAAGTTGAAGTGATAATTAGTTTTTTCAAGTAATGCCTCATAAACAAGGTTACAGCAACTTCTCCAGAAGCCCACATTGGAAAACAATTTTTTCTTTCCTTATTGGCCACACAAACATCTGAGATTCAACAGGAGAGAGCACAAATGCAATCCACATGTAGCTTTTCCATCAACTCCCAGCATTAGTTCGCAGCATAGAACATAGTCCCATATTCTTCCTATGAAAATTATCATGAAAAACTGCCTGCTGCTGCAAATCTATTTCAAGTGAGCCACATTTCCCAGAAAAATCACAATTGCAACAGAATAGTAGGGCTAAGGCGAACATTAACCAGTTATGTTCCACGAAATGATGAAGATAAGGTGTCAGTTTCACAAGTTTCCGTATATAACTTTCCAGATTTAGAACCTAACAAAGTCTCTTCTAAGTACAAAACCTTTGGCTGCAAATAAGATTAATCGATACAGGTTTCTTCAGAAGTAAACCTAAATAATAAAATTAATCTTCATCCAAAATGCCTTCGCCTCAGCAATCATTTGCATAACAATTAAAAAAGAAAATCAAACTACTACTAGGAATGAACAAAAAGGAGAAATATTAACCATTGGATTTGAAGTTGAAAAAGGAAAAGAATTAGAAACCCTAATTTGGAGAAGGATGCAGCAGATACCGAGATTAGATCTGGAGACATAAAATAGGCAGGGCGTTGAAGAAGCAGCAAAGCGAACAATCTTTTCTCCTCCGCGAATCACATTTCAGTTTTTTTCTCTTCAATTACATTACAAAGACAAATGTAAAAGCAAAATTTTACCCTTTTCAGTTTATTATACTTCAGTTCTTGGTGTTGGTGCTGTCAGCAATAGTAGCGGTTAGGGATTTCAGATTTGGAAATTGGGAAATGGGAAGCGGGAATTGAAAATCAAACTTCCAAATTACAAAACTATCCATTCGTTAAAAAGTTTTTTTTTTTTTCGTTTTTATAAAAAAAATAAAATAAAATAAATTATATATTAAGAACGGCCCGGCCTGTCCATGATCCAGGAGCCCAAATAATTATCTCGTCGGGATAATTAAAAAAAAAACGGAAATAGATGGAACATATGGGATAAGATGATGAATATTTTTGTATTTTGTTTGAATGATGAGAAACAAAATAGAAAAAAATGTAGAAAATTTTTTTTTTTATCCTTGATATACAATGTTTAAAACAATAAATAAATATCAGTATTTTAATTTTAGTCTATAGTGAGGATTACTTCTTTTATTAACTTGAAATAATAATTTTTTCAGCCATCAAAATCATGCTAAAAAAATGACAATCATTGTAAAAAAGAGAATACATTATTAAAAATAATATAATTAAATTATAATTTAATCAAACATTAAATCATTTTTTAAATATATTTAATAATAAATTAAATAATTAAAATAATAAATTTATCACGCAAGGTAATAATTTCATCATAAATACAAATTTTTTATTATCATTCAATCTCCATCTCTTCATCATTAAATACAATTTCTTTGACAGCACGATCAATTTTCATTTCTCTATTATATTAATTTTTTAATAATGATATTAATTTGATTTTTAATTGTTAGAAATTATTAAATTGTATAAAATACTTTATTTTATTTTTATCAATTCATTTTCTCATGGTTTGATGGAATAAGAAAACCAAACGTTTAGTACAATTACATTCTTAAAAAAATATTCATAAAAATTATTGTGTGTGATAAAACATCTTTACGTTAAAAAAACAAATTATATCCAAGTTTATAACCAAGTTCAATCATTACTATGTTTGGATTCAAACCGAGATGCTTGGGCTAAAAAAAATTAACAACTTGTCATTTATTATTGTCTTTTCCAAACTCTATTTGATTTTTGGATTTTATTATTGAATTTTAATTAACTAACTACTTATATGGAAAAATATTAATTTGTGGCTTCATTTTCATATAAAAAATGAGATGAAAACACTCCATTTAAAATTATAAACACAAAATCAACATTAAAAATCATTTTTTAACAATTAATCTACATAAAAATTTAATTTTAAGCATTTTAGATCTAGAACTTCAAATCCATATATCTCTCCAATGGAATAATAAAATTGTCAAATTAGGTGTCTATAAGCTTCTTATTATAAGAGCTTGCATTTGGTGGGAACTTTTTCAATAATTTGACTGGATTTCATCCGGTCAATATTTTCTCTTTATTCTTCATTTTTCTTCCTCTCTCTTGTTTACGTTTCTCATATTTTTTTTATGAGTTTTGCTTTTATATTTTCTTGTTTTCATATATCTAATAGGGAAAATTAAGGTAATTGAAATCAATGATTTGTATCTTAATGTAATGATAGAGATTGAAGTTATAGAAGGTTTAAAGAGATATTTATAGAAAAAAAAATAATTATGTCTCTATTTTTATCCTTTATATTCCTTCTTTTTAGATGGAGAATAAAACAACTAAAAATTATCTTAAGTTAAAGATAGAAACCCATTTTTATCTTTCTTTTTTGTCTTTTATTATGTAAGAGAGTGGTTATGGATTTAAGCTTGACAGCATCCTAATTTCCACTTTAACAACTGTCAGGCATTGAACTTGCAGGATAGTGAATTAAGGATGGGTGTTAAACCCTTATGGATTACGTGGGATCAATGTCAATCTAACTCAACTTGCTTATAATATCAAGGAAGATGCTTTATTTATCAATTTGATTATAGATATATATTCACCAATTCAAATATCTAGTGGTCAACATATAGGGATAAGAACCAAGAATAGGTCCTTTAATTCTTGATCGAGTTCTCAAAATAAATGAAAACTCATTCATCAAATATAGAAATAAATATGATACAAGACTTAAATATGTGTTTGCCAATTTGAATACTCGATGGTCAACATCTAAATATAAAAGCCAATAACATGTCCTTTATTCTTAGATCGAGCTCTCTAAATAAGTCACAACGCATACACCATATACAAAATGAAGCACATAATGAATGAAAAAAATGCATATTCACCAATTCATCTACTCAATAATCAACATCCAATGATAAGAGTAAAAAATGGATCATCTAATCATAAGTTGGGTTCTCGAAGAAAAGACACATAATAAACAACACACAAATATTCACCAATTCAAAGATTTGATAGTCAATATTTAAGGACATGAGTTTTTTAATAAGTCATCTAAACCTAATAGCTTTATACATAATATAGTCGAGGGGAAATCATTAAAACAACACAAAGAAATATGTTAACATGTATTAACCAGTTCTATCAATAATCAATGTCCAAGGATAAGAGTTGATAACATATCATGTGATCCTAAATTGATTTCTTGAATAAAATATTATTGATATACAAACACAATCATATATGCATCAAACTCTATTGTAAGGTATTGATTTGTATCCTTATTTCACCTTAAAAAATAAATCTATGATATACCCTCAAGCTACCACATAACAATGTAGACACATAACACCTCAAATATTCATCAATATAAAAAAAAAAATCAATATCATGTTAACAATTATCCATAATAAATAATTCAATATGTTAGGGTTCCAAGATGACCTTTAGAAGTTACCAATGCTAACTAGATACATTAGGACTGGATAATTTCGATGTATAGATAAAACAGGTGAATTGTGACACATGAGCTTCATGCATTATCACTGATTTGTAAAAAAAGGTTAAAACTATAAGATGTTGGGTCTCAATGTAGACAAAAAAAGAGAGGTTATTTTGGCTAGAACTTTATACCGATCTCGGGGTAATTTTTAGGTTGATTTTGGTGAGAAAAAGGTTATGATTTCAAGCTGAGAGATTGAGATTAAAAGAGGAGAAAGGTTTCTAGGTCATTAGTTATTTAGAATTGAGGAATAGGGGTGATTATTGCAACTTGGTTTAGAATGGAAGGAGAGGAAAAAGGTTGTTGTCTATGATGTTGTTGTTGATGAGTTAGTTGTTTATGAAGGATTTTTCATGGCTTGGTTTGAGCATGGCTATGATATAATGAAGTTATATTAAGGTTTTTTAATAGATTTGATTAGTTGTTTGGTCAAAGTAAAAAGGGATGATGACTAGTAGTTTTGGGTCTGATGATGATCCCTTAAGAGAAAGGTGATTGATTTAAGTGAAGTAAAAAAGGATGAAGATAGTTGTGTTGTAGTGGTATGACCTAGGCTATAATCAAGGAGGAGGTCTTAGTCAAAGGAAAAGAGTTTTTGGGTAGTGGTTGTAAATTGGAGAGAGAAAAGTCACTAATAGTGATCGAAATGGGTCATAGAAGCGGCCCAAAGGTAGGTAAGCTCGAACACCTTTAGACGGCTCATGTAGCTCACTCTGTTCACCATTTATGACTTTATTTGATATTGCTAGATTCGTCTTGTCAAGATATTTTTTTATGGTACTCATGGTGTTTTCATCATAGCTTTAGGTGCAGTTTGGTATTGTGAATGCGGGTGAGATTTACTCGTAACCACAAATATTGTTATTTGGTATTGCAACAAACATAATTTTTTGCTAGTAGGGCCCACCATCAATGTTGGTTTTACCGTAGATTTACAAGAAGCAACTCTTTGCTGCTTCTTGTGTAGAGAAAACTCACGAACAGTGGAGACATTCTCCACTATTCCGGCCGGATTGGTTTCGGTTCAAAGCTAAAAATGCATTGAACTGAGTCTCATCTAACAAAATAAAAAAAATATTTTTTTATTTTTAATTATGTTTTATTCAAAAAACTAGTGTTAAATATTATTCAATGACACTACATAAATTAGACGAAAATCGCTTGATGGCGTAATATTTGCAAAATTTTATCACAATTTCAATTTTGTTTCTGATTATGTTTTACCTGATATTGTTGTGCTTTTAAGAAATTTGTTGATGGAATTATAAATAGTTTAATAGAACAATAAAAAAAATTTATATAAAGTATTATTTATTTCATGTAATAGCAATAGTTAAATCTATAATATTTAAATTAAAAGTCATCAATATTAATATATATTTTTTAAAATTATTTTATAACCTTAATTTTAAAAACATTCTTAACCAAACATATTAAACTATTTTTTATTCAACCTAAATTTCAACCACAGTTTTAACCATACATATATTTTTCCAAACTAATCTCAACTAAAAATACTTTTTATAAAATAAATTTTTTCAAACTACAACTAAAATAGCTACCGCAGTATGAAACACACTCTTAATGTCTCTGTGGTTTTTTTACTTTCACTCTCTCTCTTATCTCTTCATAAATTACAAGGAAGAAAGAGGAAAAAAAATAAAGAGATGTGATATTGGTTATGACATCAAAGAATCCATTAAGAGTGTCTATTGGGTTTATTATAAGGTCTAAAACCAAATGGATTCGAAAGGAGTTCAATAACCTAAGTCAAATCTGATACTCTAAAGTTTTGTTTACTTTTTGAATCATTTTTGAAGCTACATAAGGATTTGGATGCAATTCCAATTGAATTAGAAACTAGATATTTGTATATTTCCAATGATATATGGTAGATTCTCTAATTCATCAAGACGAGAAAAAGCGATGTGTTTTAAGTTAAGCATAAAATATGTCAACAAAATGCAAAAATGAAAAAGATATTATTTACTTAAGAGTTATGAATTTCATTCACTACAAGGAGTCCTTAATGATATTGGGAACTTATATGACAATCTTTGGCTTACTTATTTTACAAAGATTTCATATCAAACAAAAAAAATTAATAGATCAAAAATTAATTCTTATTTTACAAGGCATTAGGATTTTATTCAGCAAGGATTCTTCAACAATTATTTATCTTGTGTATTTTTCACTATTATATATGTAAAGGGTGAAAACTAATTTTAGACTATTATTTTATTTATATTTATTATTTTAAATCTTATTTTAATGAGTTTAGAATTT